CGAAAGTGATGTAGAACTTCAGCTAGCCTCACCTAGTTGGTGGTAAGTCTGGTAATGATATGACCGTTAACATACTTGTAGCTGAGCTAACGAATTTCCGACTTAGTCGATTCGCAAGCCTATTGTTCTAACCACTGTTAACGACGACAACAACAACGCGATACGATACCACCGAAAGCGCAACGCAAGAAGACATGAAGAGAACTCTAACTATTGACGTGGAGAGCTTTTACTGTCTCGCATCAACAGTGAGAATGACTGAGAGCGTTTGCGTTTATATATGCCTTAAAATGATCATGAGAGACAGTAATGACATTGAAAAGTTGAAACAGTCAATAACCGATAGTATTTCGAAGGTCATAAATGGGGTGAGAAAAAATTAGGTCACGTTTTGATATGATATCCGTTTCTTGATGTTAACTGCCACTGTCAGCTTCATTAGACTTAATCAGCTTTATCTGTTCAACCACAGGATTGAATCGAACTATGTTTATTAGTAAATACTAGAGAAACTATTATTATTATTATTCCATATTAATTAATTTATTAGATATATCACAAATAGTGGAACAGTGTTCTTTTCATCAATGCTTCAATCAAAATTTACTGTTGATAATTATATCATATATAATTCTATGGGTTCGAAACCCGGTTGTTATAACATAATGGTACATAGCACTGATTTTTATGAAAATTTGGAAACCACTTCCATCAATCAATTTTTATATACTTGCCTAGTCAATTTATCTAAACATCATGAGTTGACAGCATTTAGAGAACTATTGGGAAATCTGAGAGTACAGGACAACCTTTTCATCCTAGTTTGGGATTCTTCACAGTACTCACCCACCGGATTTCCATTCCATGACCTTCTGCTTACAAGGCGGAGACCAATACTCGTCAGTGACATTAGTTATTGGTCATGCTGTATCGTGAATCGGTCGGGGCTGGAATTCATGGGCTCGCCATTGGATCGTGTCCCAGAGGCTTAATGGTCTACGAGCTCGCCTTGTATCCAGAAGGTCCTGGGTAATAATCTCCGCGGTGGGTTCGCACCGTGAGGAGTTCCAAACTAAGACGAAACAGCTGTCCAGTACTTCCAGGTTTTCCAATGGCTCATGATGAAATCATGTAACCAATCCATCAAATCCCTGAAAACCAACACTTGATTATGTAAACATTGTTCATTCGAAGCCGAGATCATCATCAGTATAGCCTGTGTGACTCAACTCAGAGAGCCTAATCACTTGAAACTGGTGATACATAGAATCATATTCGTAATTTTCAGATTACAATGTATGATATGCCTGATTTTGGTGGTTTAAAGCGATTCGGCTTACTGAATCGAGTCAAAACTGGGTACTCCACTGATGAACTCGGCCGCCAATACAAGAGAAACAGCTATTCATCTGTATATACATCACTTCGTTCTGGTTTGCCACCAGTAATGGCTGATGTAATTGGTATACAGTTGATCATCTGAATCAATATGTAGTATAGAGTTTTACGCAGACAGACTTTCTTTCATGATTACTATTTATGGTATCAAGCAGACCATATACAGTGTGTGAATTCTCACCTCAAAACTGTTTAAATCGCAAAATGGGAATTTGATACTTGGGTTTCGTAGCTGTCATTCTTTTCATCAGTAGTTCTTTATAGGAATATAAGAATATCTGGGACACGCGGTGTTTTTTTAGTTTCTACTCTAGTTATTCTCACTTCTTTCAATAAACAAGACTTCTGTTAACAACGGCTTTCCTTATCCTGACTGTATTAGATTCGAGGACCTTCACATAATCATGTCTTGTGTGTGTGTGTGTACGTCATGCTATATGGAAGCATTTGGTTATAATTTTTGTCCTGGTAGGGTATCCTAATCCGCATTACGCTAAAGTATTTTGTACTCCGGTAATCTAATAGATAATCTAATCATAGATGCCTGCGTTCTATCTCCCGTGTGAAGTGGTACAGTAGGGTAAGCAATACTGAGGTTAGGCGTCGAGTACTATGTAAGGGGGGTAAATCAATCGACGAGGCTGTGAAACTACATCGATTGAGATGGTTAGGACATGTGTTACACATGACTAGCCACCGCCTTCCTCGACAACAAGCAATGTTAGCTGACATAGGGTCAGGCTGGAAAAGAGCTAGTGGCGGTCAAACCAAAACATGGCTTGATCAGTCAATGAAATCCAAAACAGTAAGTTTAAGCCACGTAGGAAGGTGTAGACTTCCTGACTGGTTGGGGTCCTCGGGACGGTAAAAACCAATGAAGACTGGAGACAATCGGTGATATGGCTGGCTCAAAATCATTCTCATTGGCGCAGATGCATCCAATCCTTGTGACTTATGATTTCCAATGAAACCATATTCTTCGTTATTACTATTCCTTTTGTCCCACATCCCTGTCTGCTGTCTCTATCTTGCATTTCTTCTAGTTTCCTCTCTTGCTTTGTGTGTTACATGGGGTGTGGCGACTTGAACTGCTGCACATCTGTGCAAAGTTCTATGTTGAAAAGCAGATAGATAGACAGACAGGCAGAATAGATAACTGGCCCATCATTATTGTTATTTGAAACAAAATGTGATGTGCATCATGTGACAGATGTCTTTTGTGACTGTGTTATCCAACCGATACAGTTCCAGCTTCAAATTTCATAAGATAGCCTAAGTACTAGTGTCCAGAGATGTCGATCAGTATCAATGACAATCAGTTTGAATATAACTTCCCAAGTTGTTTACCGCATACGTTTTCAAGATACATCCAAAATGTGAGCGTATAACATTGACCAGACATCAAATTAGTGTTACCTAAGATGATATATGTCTAATGTCACACAAACTTGAAGACTTACAGGTGAAAAGCAACAAACTGGCTGAAAAGGCAGGCAGAGAAGACAGGACTGCAGGTGAACACAGAGAAGACGGAGGTGATGAAGATAACCAACCACCACCAACAGCACCAGCAATAACAACAACCAGCACCAATCACCATCAACGGGAGAGATTTAATAAAGGTTTCTTCCTTCACTTATCTCGCCAGGAAGCACCGTTTCAACCACAGGCAACAAAACGGATGAAGATGTCAAAGCTAGCCATTCAGAATCGGAAAGACAAAATACGCCTACATCAACCTGAAACCGGTTTGGACTTCTTCTGCACTAACTCAGCCAGCATTAAGAACAAGATTCGGAATTTCAACACACATGTGAAGTCAGTCAGTTCCTCTATATGGGTCAGAAAAAGGATTTCCAACAGGTTGCAGATTTTTTTCAACAGCTGCCTTCGCTGGCTCCATACTGAAAATCAAATGGCCAGCCGGCCAGAGAGAATTAGCAACAAGAAACTCTGTTTGGAACAGACCAACAGGCGAGAGGCGATTGCTCAACAAATATGTAGGAGAAAACGGAGATGAGTCGGGCATACGTTGAGGAGACCGTCTAATGACATCGCGCTCAATGCAGGCCATTGCTCGAGTGGAATCCGAATGGGAAGTGGCGAGTTGGTCATTGGTGTGAGGGTGACATTGAAGAGATCGGTGAGTTGGAGGAGGAGATGAGAGATTGTGGGCAATCGTGGACCCAGCTAAAGAGGACAGCATCAAATAGAACAAAGTGGAGATGTGTTGTTGAAACCAGCCCTATGTCCCACTCGGAACCCAAGAGAATAATAAATAATAAAATAAATAAAGTTACTACTACAGTGACTTATCATACATACATAAAAATATATGATTATACCTTATCCTTTGTTAATATTCAAGTTTATGAATGGATAAAATTATTTTTGTAAATAAATATTTTTGTGTGGTGTGTTTTGCTCACTTTTTTGGTTTTTTAATCTTTGCTACACTAAACAAGAAGAAGAGAAGAAGTAACATACCACCTGCTTATTGATCTACACTCAAAAATTGACCTTGAAAATGAGCTGATCAGATATTTGTACTTAGTTAGAATAGCGTAGAAAAACAAGACAAAAAAAATTAAAAAGTTAACTAGTTACAAAAAATGTCAGGGTGATTTTAGGCTGGAGGATGACATATTTTACAAGTAACAGCGGTATTTATCAATAAGCAATAGGGATGTTAGACTGTACTTTGATTAGTCACTGGGTAGTAGTAGTACTGATTGTTAAACATCTAGTCCTTTGTTCGGTACAGACTGAATATTAATCAGTCAAGGTTACAATGTGTTCATAATGCTCGGTGATTTGACATCATCGTGCGCCTTAAACTGATATTAGATCGTTGAAGGCAGTCGGCGAGAAGCACTGCTTGGATCTAAGTTTCGTACTTGTCGGTATTCACTAATTAGTCAGCAAGGTGCATCTGCGATCTTGAAGGAACTCATGTCCCTCTCTGAGATTCAAACCCGCGTCACCCCAGTAACCAATCAAAGTATCTATTACAGTCTTACAGGAAGTCAAAGGTCAGTCTAAATAGCTCAGTGGTAACGTCTCCTAGGTTTGAGTATTACAAGGAGCGGGGTTTTTTAGCCTCACATGCAGCCTTCAAACTCTTTGCCATCCTTACTAACAGGTAAGAGGAGAGAGATTGATAAGTACTTTGGCTGGGAGTCGAACTCTGAACCTCGTACGTGGTTAATGAGTATTATACTACTGAGTCACCGGTGAACAATGTTTCCTGTGTACATAGTACAAATGTTACCTAATTCTTGTATTTGTACATCACTGGCACAAAGGTAGAATGCTTGTCATCCACGCGTGTGGTTCGAGGTTCGGCCCCCGGCCGACGCACTCTTCCTTTACCTCGCTAAGCCAGTAATAAGACTAATAAAGAGGAAAGGTTGGGCATGAAGCTGGCTAGCAGCCCCATCCCGTAAAAGTAAACACCACTGCTACAGAAACTTCAAGCCTCTAGCTTGAAGGCGACCTATGTTCCAATGGGAATGTAAAGGAATAGAAAAACAAATCTTGTATTTATTCAACTTATTCATGGGTGTTTTCACTAATTTGTTTTCATGATATTATTATTCCAGATCAGTGGTGATGCAGTCAGTTTAGAAGAGAAAGTGAAACTTGCCTTAGAGGAGAACATCAATCTCAAATCATATATTGATCGTATGAATAATGAATGTATGGAGTTGAATGCAGCCTTATTTGAAGAAGCTAATAAAATGGTAAGTCAGGAATTCATCACACCTAGTAGAAGTCTACTGATGTATACTTTTCAATAAAACATTAACACACGAGAGTATTCACAGTCATCTATGTATATCATTTTTTTCAGGGTGAAGTCAATTAGCTTAACACCATAGCGTATAATAAGATGCACAAAAACAACAAAGTGTAAAACTTATGAGGAATTGGAAGTTTCATGAAGAATCCCTTTTAGAATACGTAGAAAATTAAAACAAGTGATTGAGCGAAGAGTCTGTTTTCTCAACAATTCGTGACCAGTAGGGTACAGCAGGTTGAAGAAGACATTGCGAAATGGTCCCGCTATGTCGAGAATTGGGAGAAGTTAGAATTCATGGGCCGTTCGATTGGGTCCCAGTGGCTCAATGGTCTACGAGCTAGCTCGCCTTGTAACCGGAAGGTCCTGGGTTCGAACTCTGTCTGTGGGTGCATACTGATGAAGAGTCCAAAAAATTAGGACGAAAGAGCTGTCCAGTACTCCCAGTTGGTTTTACAATGGTTCTCTAACTGATATCAGCTCATGATGAAATCCTCCATGCAATCCGTCATAACACCAACAACAAGCCAACATCAAAGACCAAAAGAAAATTCATCCTACCACATATATGAAAAAATATCTCTGAAATTACAGCTAGAATATTAAGACTGTTTGAAATAGATACAGCACACAAGCCAACACGATGACTTCATTCACTACTGTGCAGACCAGAAGATGACAAGGTCAATACCGACTACAAAATAAACTGAATGAATTGCGATAAACACTACATCGATTAATGTGGGGTGTCCCCTTGGAAACCGAATACGAGAACATAAATTAGCTGTGAAAAGACATGATATATATATTTTTTCATATCAATGCATTTAGATAATTATGGACACCAATTTAATTGGGATAATGTAGAAATTTTAAATAGGGAAAACACCAAAAATGCAGTCAGGGAATTCCTAGAAGCCTGGTACTCAGGCGAATTAGCCAGCGAGTAACAAACACATTATTATTATAGACCAAATTTACCAGCTAATAAAAAGTAAATCATCACATGACAAGAACATTCGAATTCCAAGTCAATAAAAATATGATCAATAGAGATGTAAATCAACTATAAATCTCAACAGTGGTTGCATCATTCATGGAGAATTTAAATAAGTCCACTTCATACTAAAACCTGCGCTGAAGGGGGATGTTGTCTAGAAGGACGACGAAAGCTTCGCTATTAAATCAACCAGCTGCTCAGAGAACACAACTAATTCATTCATTCTGTACAATTGTATATATATAAATAAGGTTAGAAGGCAATTAGAACATAATGCCACAAGGTGACAACTATGATAAGACGACATTGTGCGTCGGTGGCACAGTTGTTAGGACTCTCGCCGACCACGCACATGGTCCGGGGTTCGATCCTCTGCCGACGCACACCTGATATCTATGGTCGGCCTGCTAAATTCGGGCTATCGATATCACATACTGAAAATTCCATACCTGTACCAAAAAATACGGTGTGGAATCAAGCTGTAATAAAAAAAAATTAAAAAATTGTAAGTAAGTTGATTAAATGAAAGTGACAAGTGAGGTAATATCGGTAATTCCTCAAAGTGAAAATGATTATAATACCAATGAACATAAAAAGGGTAGCGTATACTAATTAAATAGACGAAATGATGAAAGGTAAGTAGGACCAAAGTATGACCAGGGGTTTTATCATATGTTAACTTGAACGAATTAAGACCAGGAAAGTTGAAGGGCTTGAAAAAACGTTTTCTCTACATAAAGGTCTGGCTTTTCTAATTCAATGTCCAAAGTTTCAGAAATACAGTCAGGTCGGTGGGGCGATTTTTCTGTGCTTTTCTTGAGGGTTTTGGTTTTGATAGGTTGGCTTGGGGGTATATGCCTTGTGATGAAATTCCGTGGGTATCTATTCTTTTGGAAGACGACCATGGAGCCACTACTCAGCAACGACGAACACCTCCCACAACAATCAAAAATGCAACACACAAGTTGGATGGAATGCATAAACCTATGCCTAACAACGTAAATCCAATTCAACGGCTAAATATATGAACAAGTTAAAGGAACACCCATGGGATCGCCAATATCAGGTTTGATTGCAGAAGCAGTGATGCAAAGGCTCGAAAACACAATCCTACCAAAGATCAAACCCAAAGTTTGGATACGTTACAAAGATGACACATTTGTAATAATCAAAAAAACGACTTGGGTAAACTCACAACCTAATAAACTACGTTTTTAACGACATCAAATTCAAGAGAGAAAAAGAATCCGAGAACAAAATCCCATTTTTGAACGTCTTAGTCAAGCGAACAACCACAAGGAAATTAGAAACTCAAGTTTATAGAAAATCAACTCACACAGACCAAATACTGAATTACAACAGCAACAATCCAATAACACACAAACGGAATTGTATACAAACACTAATCAAGAGAGCCAACCAGGACTCATTGCAGCACTCCCACCTTAAGGAAAACTGAAGAAAGACATCTCGTGGACATCTTCCAAAAGAATGGATATCCATGAAATTTCATCAAAAGACATATACTCCCAAGCCAACCTATCAAACCGAAGGCCCCCAAGGAAAACACAAAGAAAATTCCCTACCATATATAAAGGACATCTCAGAAATCACCCTAAGACTCTTCAAACCTTTAGGAATTGACGTCTCACACAAACCAACAAAATCACTTCACTCAACAACGAAAAAAGATAAAACTAACACCATCTACAAAATAAATTGTAACAACTGCGAGAAACACTACATTGGCCAAAGTGGACGTCCCCTTCGTCTTCGTATCCATGAACATAAACTAGCCGTCAAAAGACATGACATCTACTTCCTCATATGGCCGCATACAGATAACCACGGATATCAATTCAACTGGGACAATCAACGTTCAAAAATGTGTGACAGAGGAAACACGAAGAATGCTAGAGAATTTTCAGAAGTAGGCCTGGTATTCCAGTGAATCGTCAATCAATAGACACATCGAGATAGACAAAATTTACCAACCAATAAGAAGGAAATCTCACACACAAAGTGTCAAAGTTCAAGTCAAAGAAACAATCAGTTCCAATACCACAAGTAGCCTAGAGAGTGTGAAAACACACAAAAACCACCAATCACGTCCTAGGTCACCGGGAGAGATGATTAATAAACTCGTGGAGAAATGTAAAAGCTCACATCAATTCGAATTGAAGTATGCGCTGAAGATGTTGTCTAGTAGGGCAATGAAAGCTTCACAAATAAAACCATCCAGCTCAGAGAACACAACTACACCAGAAACAAACTAGTCATATCATGTTTCTTTCTCATGGTTAGTTTTACTCCATATGAGTTCATCTTCCTCACTTAAATACTCTCAGCTGGAATTCCTGTACGACTGTCTCGTTATCACCATGAGTTTCTTTACAGCAATCTAGAGGCAACTGGTTCCAGTATTACTGTGACCCCTACTTTCATTTTAGCTTCACTCATCAACTGTTACGACACTTCTAGTCTAAAAGTCCAAGCCTATGGGAGATAATGTCACTATGAAATAGGCGTTTTTGTTCACTGTTGACCAACGCTGAAGTCTTGAGCTGGCCAACTCATTGTATGCTAGATGACTCCATAGTTGAGAAATACGCTCCACCCCCGCAACCCCCACCCACACTACACACAACATACTAAAACACAGGCATTTCCAGTTGACAAATAATTATAATAAGTTATCGTTAAATAAATATTAACTCAAGAAAGTATTGAATTTCAATCACAAAGGTAAGTCACAAATGAGTTATGAATTCTAACACCTTTACTAATATATATTTACTTATGATATTCATTTTCTTTTTTCTTGCATACATTCAGGTAAATGATGCCTTAGCTAAACAACATTATGCTGCTAAACAATTAAAGGAGAAAATTCAAGAAAATGAGGTAATAATATAAGTCACTTTTTGATTGGTTGAAATCATATTGATTTATCGATTAGTAAGTAAGTGAATGAATATATGTGTGAAGTAAACTAAAGGTACAGGTGACAACAGATTACTCTGTGTGTATATAGCAAGATATGATATACACTACTAACTGATATGGAGTATTTCCAAATCACTCACGTCAACCAGTGGTAATCGCTAACCAGATTGAACCGTTTTGTTTGTGTTGGCACCTAGCTTATCAGTGGCTTACGTAGTTTTACACAGGTCAGGATCTTAAAATTATTTCAAAACTCCCGAATTTGGATATGTGGAATTAAATTTTTCACTGACTACCTATACACTTCCAGATGGAAATTGGCTACACTTTTCTTTGGAAATCAACAGTGTTCTCTTCACTTATGTTATCTGTGGATTGTTAAGAGATTTGTCAAAAGTAATCAGTTTGCTTCATTATGGATAAGATTTTATTTTGATAAATCACACAGTGGTGTTACACAGTAATATTAACTGATAACGTTTCGAGCACAATTTATTACTGCTCATAATCATATCAAGTCACTCACACAACTTTTTTCCTTCATTAATATACATGAGTGGAACTGATGATTAGACATTTGAATAAAAATCAATATAGGATAATGTACAGTCATTGCAGGGTATTTTGTAAATTATATTATTTTGTTTAATTGGCTCCACCGGGTCTTTTAGCCTATAAAATTCATTAGGAGATCAAAAAAGAAGCAAAATAAAAATAATTGTGAAACTAGTAGTGACAACATAAATAAGAGAGAATATAAAGCATCTACTGTTATACCATAGAAGGAGGGGACTTCTGAGACCCTCCCTACGTAGGATTCTCAATAAAGCAGGAATTAGGGTGCCATTCAAACTTACAAACTCACTCAGAGACAAGCTCTGTAGGCTAAAAGACCCGGTGGACCCAATTAAACAAAATAATATAATTTACAAAATACCTTGCAATGACTGTGAGGTCAACTATATAGGTCAAACTAGTAGGTTGGGGGTAATCAGATTGTCGGAACATAAGAATTTAGCTAAGGTAAGAATGGTTGACCCCGAGAAGATGAGTAATTTAGAAAAAAGCTCAGCAATCGCACTGCATGCATTAACAAACAACCACACAATAGGGTGGGAGAGGGTCAAAATTCTAAGAAGTAATCTATGTAGGTGGAGAGAGAGATTGATTCCTGAATCCTGCCTGGTTCATCGAGTCTACACACAACACAACACATGCAACAAAAATGACTCAATGCAAATACCAGAGATATGCATGGAAGATATTATTACCACCAGTCAGTCAAATCAGAGGAGGATAATAAATAATCTCAAAATTCTATTTCCATTCAAGCACATCACAACATTCTAACAAGTTACTTATTTATTTTGACTATAAAAACACTCGTCTTATTTCCCATCTGATTGTATTTGATCAATAACACTCATATTATTATTTCTGAATGTACATTATCCTATATTGATTTTTATTCAAATGTCTAATCATCAATTTCACTCATGTATATAAATGAAGGAAAAAAGTTGTGTGAGTAAGTGACTTGATATGATTATGAGTGTCAATAGTTTGTGCTCGAAACGTCATCATTTAATATTACTGTGTAACACTGTGTGACTTATCAAAATAAAATCTTATCCATAATGGAGTTATACTCTACCACCACAGTGCCCAAGTTTTATACTTATATCAATAATCAGTTTGCTTGTTGAAATGAATATTCTTGATTCGACAGAGGATACACTAAAGACGAAGTTGGTTGTTGTGTGCCTTGTTCTGTTCTTTGCTAGTGTTAATTATTATTGGACTTAAGAGTAATGCTTTCACATGACGAACTTTACTCTAAAATTATATGTACTGTAATGCCATTGATAATGGATTGGTAATTAATAGCTTTTTGTGTTTAGCTTCATTACTGCACACTGATTGTTGACGAAATCTCTACAGGAATACCGAAGGCTCACACAGCATTCCACAACTTACGCCATCTTTGGCGTAGACTTGATACGTGGCTATCGATTAAAAGATGTGCGTACTGTACAGCGGTTCGCTTTATTCTCCTCTATATGGATGTAGAAATGGCCATTGGAAGTGGAATATATATATATATATATATATATATATATATATATATATATATATATATATATATATATGAGAAGGCTAGCTGCCTTTTACCTCACGTGTTTATTTTCTGTCGTATATTTTCAATGATATAATACGGTGAATAATACACAGGTTAGACGTAGAGTGTTAGGTATGGAGGGTAAGTCATTTGATGTGGTTGTGAAGCTACATCGACTTAGATGGTGCATTCCATGATATCACCTTGCATGATGGGCAGTGTTAGCTGACATAGGATTAGGTTGGAGAAGGGTTTACTAGTGGTCAAACTAAAATTTGGCATCCGTTAATGAAGTATCTGACAGTTGGGGTATAGGATGTGTAGTCCACTCCACCCCTGATTAGAGTCCACGGGATTCTAAGAACTAATCGCTGCGTACTGATGGTGGTGATATGGATCAAAATCGTTCTCAATGGCGCAAGTTCATTCACCCTCTGTGTTCTCTTGTATCCACTAAACGGTCATGTTTTCCCATGTTAACATTCCTTTTCTCTCATATTTCTGCTGATTATAGTTCTTTTGAATATCTTTCCTCTCTCTCTCTTTTCTCTACCTTTATGTTCCACATGGAGTGTGGCAACTTGAAGAGGTTCATTTCTGTGCAAAGTTCTTGTTGAAACACAGTCAGACAACTAATATATGGTGACTTTAATATCCTTACTTTTTCGGATATTTTAGAGATATAGATATTATGACAGTTTTATTTCTAAGCCTCTCTTTGTCAGTAGTAAGCCTTGTAAAGAGGGAAGTTTGGGTTTAAGGCTAGCCATCCCAACTCCTAAAGAAGAACAACGCCACTGCTTCTGAATAAGATGAAAACATAATTCCATTTCACTCCAAACTGACATCTACTGGAGTGCCACTGATAGTGAATTAGCAATCAAACAGATGTCTCTTTTTAGCTTTAAACTGTGTAGCAATGTGTACTGAAGACTTCGGGAACAGCCACACCTAAGACTGTAAGATTTCAAGGCTAGTATATCTAAATTAGATCACTGGTTCAGCTGATTGGTTATTTTTCACTGCCCAACAATTCAATCTATAGTCGTTCTTGATTTTCAATGGTCATTTTAGGTAAATATGTCTTATTTTAATGAAGAGTATCAAAATCCCACCTATTTCAACACATGAATGCACTATACCACATTCTTATAAATCTAATCAGAGTTTAAAGGTTTAATTAATAAAAAAGGCGTCTTTGATGTGGCTGTGTTCTCTGAGCTGGATAGTTAATTTGCGAAGCTTTCATCACCCTACTAGGCAACATCTTCAGCACATACTTCAGTTCGAATTGAAGTGAGCTTTTACATTTCTCCACGAGTTTGTTAGTCATCTCTCCTGGTGATCTTGAACGTGACTGATTGGTTGTTTTGTGTGTTTTCACACTCACTAGGCTACTTGTGGTATCGGAACTGATTATTTCCCTGACTTGAAATTTGACTGAAGAAGCTACAGCTATTTACATGCTTAATCTTCAACTCTAATTTGTCTCAAACCTTGAGAATTTTTTTATTAGTCCTAATTTTAAAAAGCTGTTGATGTTTTATTGTTTTTCTCCCTACTCACTGCTACATTTCTGTTCCTCATGACACTGGTCTTTATCTGATCCTCTTTTACTTCTAGTTAAGCTCTGTTCAGTCCAGTCTGTTATGTTACGTCTCTCAATTTACTTATTGAGTTTTAACATGAAATTTAGGTCAAAAAGTTAAAGTTTTAGTGACACATCTATGGAAGCTTCCTTTTGTTGCTGACAGGGTTCTACATATATATATATATATATATAGGTCATTTTTTTGATTGCACACCACCAGTCAGTAACTAGTACATCATGTCTAGTGTTCAATCAAAAGTATCGATACAGTCCTACAGGAGGTCATTCGCGAGCCAGCCCGAATAGTTCAGTGGTAACGTCTCTGACTGTAGTACTAGGTGATGCGGGTTTGAATCTCAAAGGCGGACATGAGTTGTTCCTTCAAAATTGGAGATACGCCTTGATGACTGACTGGTGAGTGCCAACTAGCACGAAACCTAGGTCAGGCAAGGCTTCCTGTGGCCGATCGCCTCCGGCAATAGATGTCAGTTAATAAGGGTCGTGCTGGATTGCATACAGGAAAGTCTAGACCGAAACCAGAAACAGTTGCAAAAGAATCTGTTTTTTATCTGTCTAGAGTATAAAGATAAAAAAGTATCAACAAGAACTGAAAAAAGAAAGAATCAAAGCAGCGTTGATTAAGACAATTCTCGCCAGCAGACTGATTTCGTGTTGTAACACAATATGCTCATTGATTCAGATAAAAGTAGGAAAAGTATCCTGCTTATGTCAACTTCAAACTGCATTTACCGATTCACTTGCACTCAAGGTAGCAAATACATAGTATAGACTGAAAGGAGTGTCTCTAACTAGATTTTCTGAACATATGCTCAACAATCTTCATATAAAAAGTAAGACAAGTGTTTGCAAGTAGAATTTACCAGAAACTTCTCTACTCAATCCTTCTTTTACTTTGCAAAATTTGAATTTTAAGCCCACCCACACTCTCTCTTGTTTCTTTAATTATACCATAAATAGTATTAGCGTATTTTTTTAACACTGAATAATCTGTATACTTACGTCATTATGGAATTATGTCGCATGGTTACTTTCTATAGATAACTTAACGTCACTGGGATAGATTCGTCCTTTCTTTCTTCATATAGTAATGCTGTCTACATTATTGCAGGTGTTCATTTTGAAATGTAAAATGAGTCCTACAAGTATGGACTACCACTGCTGCTGCTACTACTACCACTACTACTACTACTGTAACAACAGAAGACAAGGGCCAGGCAACAGATCGTTTATTTAGGAAATCAACAGATATTTATAGATTCTCATGTACATTATTATAGATTATTGTCAGCAAACAAACACAGTCTTCGGATTGGTGGTTTTTCTCTGAACGTTAATTTTTCCTCTCTTTGTGGCTATTTCTTGAAGTTCAGATTACCTATCTGCAAATTGTATCCACCTACGCAAAGTCTGCTGTGATTGATTGTTGAATCAGTCTTTGTTCTTATTTTTCTCATGAGCAACATTGGGGACGTGAACATTGACGTAAATTACTGTCTACCAATTTTGACTAGCAGCCAGCTCTCACCACACTACTACTACTACTACTAATAATAATAATAATAATAGCTGTTGTTACCCAATTTGATGAATACGTGTCATTTGTAGGAATTATCAATGACTCATTGTCTCATTGTCTGTGTGTCTGATAAAGAAATAAACTTGATGATACCAGTGTTTAATGCTCGTATCAGTTAATGCTTATATGATTCATAACTAAATAATTTCGCTAACTAACTAACTAACTGACTAACCAACTTATTTAATGCGTCTATTTTTTTTCTTCTTTTTTTGATTAAGTCATGTGTTAATCAACATTATGAAAAATTTATCTTCTCTTACAGATGCTTCATTCTGAATTGAGAGCATTAAAAAAATTAGTCGGTGAATTATCAACGAATGTTGTAATTCAAATGACAAGAAACCCTTTCGGTTCTTCAAGGTGAGCTGAATTTCACGTTTACGTATATTTATATACGGCATGTACAGAACTAGAAATTATTATTATTATTATTATTAAAAGAAGATTTTGGTATATAAGCAAAATGAATTTTTAAAAATTGCTAAAATCGACTGAGAACTAGTTTACACCTCTTCATTGGTGTTAACACACACACACAAACACTACCTGTAATTGATCGGAGGAACTTTGATTGAAACTAAACGGTTCATGGATTGCTAATCTCTGTTAATTCATTTTGTAGCATCACAGACGGAAAAAGTCATCGATAAGTAGGTTATGTTCACTCTTCTTTAAACTTCAGAGTTCATCATGTGCTGCGCTAAAGAGTCGAAAATCTGGATCAAATAGCTGTTCAGGTGCATCTTAGTCAGAAATTGGGTTGGGGAATGTAAAAATAAAATAAATGATGATAGTAGGGATAGTGATAATAATAATAATAATAATAATAGCAATATTAATGACGACATGCATGTAAAACATGCGCAAGATAATGACAACACCAACAATAAGGAATCTAAATCATCAGCAGTAATTCTATACAAGGAAGGACTAAAAGTGGCTGGCATTCAAACCACCTACAAACTCAATTAGAAACAAGCTTTGTCGGTTAAAGGATCAATCCTGTGGAGCCTTTAAAACAAAACAATTTAGTTTATCTAATACCCTGCAATGATTGTCAGGTCAAATACATAGGTCAGAGTAGTAGAACAGGGGCAATCAGACTAGCTGAGCATAAAAACCTAGCGAAATTTAGATTAGCTGACCCGAATAAAATAAGAAATCTAGAGAATAGTTCAGCTGTAGCGCTCACTACATGCAATTACACACAACCATACAATAGGATGGATGGGAGAAGATGACAGTTCTAAAATCTAATGTCACAGGAGGGAGGAAGAGATTGATAACAGAAGCTTTGTTTATCGAATCAACTGCAAATACATGTAACAGAAATGATTCAACACCTGTCCGGTCGGACATCTGGGAAATTCTACTACTCCAACGACGAAAAATAGGAGAGGACAAAGAAAACTATAAAACTCAAGTTTCGAAGTCGTGTGATTATAATTGATGGAATGATTATGAACAATAAATTTTGTTCAAAACTGTGTCATCCAGTAAATAATACTGTTTCATCACTGTGTGATACATCTAATAAACAAACCAGTATGGAATTACTTACTATCACAGTGCCCAAGTCTTACACACATATATTAACAGGTGCATCTTAGTTTTCGGTAGTTCTCTAACCAGTGTTATTTCGTGTTATGATCAAGTGATACGGCGTTGAGGGTTCATCTAACTTGACTAGAGTACGCCTCCAGAAACCGATATTTATAACCAAATGATCACTTGAAAATATCTCCCACACTGGAATAGACACAAATCTTAGACTGGGATAAACGACGACCAGAGTGACCACAACATTTACTAGACACGATACATTGTATATATATATCTACAAAACCTTGGGAATTTAAGGCATAAATAAACAAATTAAAAATTTCCAATAAGGTTATTATGTCGGTACATGCATTAATCATGACTTCAGAGCTAACAAAGAAGCTTGTCTGTCCTAACACCTCCCTGTACTATTAAGTCTCAATTGCAGAATCACCAGAAGATACTCTGTAGACCTGTGCATTCTCTGTTTTAATTATAGTTTGTGCTGAGATCTACCTTGAAATCAGATAAAGCGACACAAATCCTCCATCTGAATAAGTTACTTAATATGGTTCTGGTCATTAAGTCAATTTAATGAGTATGTTTATATCGATTTCTATTTCTTTCTGTCTCTTCATTGGTATTATTTTGTCTTTACAATTGTAATATTTTACATTTTCAACTTTCCTGTTCTCTACCCCCAACCGATTTAATTTCTACACTTCATTACCACCGTTAATGACTTGACCAACGCTCAATTTCTAGTCATTTATGTTACGTCATCCAATTTATTTGCTCAATTTTAGTCCTAATTTAAATGGCATTATTCTCTACCCCACCTCTAATTAGTCTCTACCTATAATTACCTCTGTTGCTATGCTGACCTAAGTTGAAACATTTTAGTCAATTATATTACGTCATTTCACTTACTAACTCAATCTTACTTTAGTTGCTGTCTAATTAGATCATTCTTGTATACCTGATTAATTATCTAAACTTGACAAACCTCATGTACACACACGCCGATAAGAGTCTCTTCGCTGAACGTCTTCTCTTTTTCATATGACTCAATGGGGATTTTTAAGCTACTTATATCGATTTATTTATATTTAATATTTAAAGGGATCCCTTATTTTGCTTAACTTTGTGCAAGATATTTTTCTTTATGTTAATGTATTTTTCAGTTACCTTTCTAAGTAAGGTATACAAATAACATTCACTTAAAAATTGACGAACACATTGTCAGCCATCTGGAAACAAGTATTTGCCTACCTGATACTATTCTATGCTGGATTGTACATGCAGATGTTGTCTAATCCTTGGTGCTGATTAAATTTCACAAGACAGGTTTGTCATCACCCTAGAACTGATATTAGGTTGTTTGAGGCTGTTGGCAGGATGCCCTTCACCTTGGGCTTTGTACTTAATGACATTTGTTAGAAAGGTGTCCTGCCCAATGTTTGTATCTGTACCACGGAGTGCTTAAGTGGGAAGTGCTACAGCCTTACAGTAGCTGTATCTCTACATGAATAGTTGACAAATTGCAATCCCCAAAAATTTAGATCTACGACCTCCTGTCTTTGACATCCATCAACCTAATATAAACACTGATTTGTTAATGATCTTTTTTTATTCCTTTACGTTCCCAGTGGAACATAGGGCTTCAAGCTAGAGGCTTGAAGTTTCTGTAGCAGTGTTTATTTTACAGGATGGGGTTACTAGCCACATGCCCAACTTTCCCTCTTTACCAGTCTTACTACTGGCTTCGCAAGGTAAAGGAGTGAGTCGGCCAGGGATTGAACCCCAGACCATATGCATGGTCGGCGAGCGTCCTAACCGCTGTGCCACCGACGCACTATTAATGATCTGATTCAATTAAATGTAAAGTTTATAGCTTCTCTAATAAGTTAATTAGATCCACATCTTCGGGGGGAGTACATCTTGCTATCTCAGATTGAAATGTGGTGTGCTTCACTTTCGCAACCATTTTGCAAACTTTGATAAGTATTCAAAAATAAAACAGAATCAACAACTCTATTGGTGACCATTAGATAAACCGATTCGAGTAATCAATAATTTCAAGTCTGACCACAAACTGACATTAGTTGGTGAACCACTGAAAATCAGTGTGAGTACTGGATGGCTGCTCGCCTCAGTTCAGGACTCTTTATCGGTGCTTACCGGTGACCATACCAGGAATTCAACCAAGGAACAATGTGTTAAGAGACGCAGACCCGTCTACCATTCATATACTGGAGCGAAATTCAGTGGCTTATGATGTCTAACTGCTGTCCATTTTGCGGTTTTATTGTTTAAATAGATTGTAGACTGCCAGTTATCATGCCTAAAATCTGAATTATGTTCTATCAAAAGGTTGTTCTTAGTATTTACTTTCGTTCATCATATAGGCTTTTTAATTTCCATAAGAGTAAACTTTGATGATATTAGATGGTTGGAGGCAATCGTCAGCAGAAAACCTCGCCTGACCTAGGTTTCGTGCTAGTTGGCACTCACCAGTCAGTTAGTCAGCAAGGCGTATCTGCAACCTTGAAAAAACAACTCATGTCTCCCTTTGAGATTCAAACCCGTATCACCCAGTGCTGCAGTCAGAGAAGTTATTTTAACTATAAAGGGTGAACGTGTGTGTTTATCCTTTCTTATCGTTCTTGTGGGTGACAGGTATCCACCTTAGAAATCATCCCTTATCATTCTTTTACAGAGTATCTATAACAATTCCATTATAGATAAGATTTTATTTTGATAAAACACACAGTGTTCGTTATACAGTAATATTAACTGATGACGTTTCTGGCACAATTTATTAACTAGTGCTCATAATCATATCAAGGTACTCATACAACTTTCTAACTTCGTCTGTATATAATTCCATCATTATTTTTCATCGCTTGATTTGATTCGTAGTAGTAGTATTTTCCATATTTCCGGTATGAGTGATGAGTGATTCCTATTGCAGGTGTTGTGTTGGGTGTAGACTCGATGAACAAAGATTCAGTAATCAATCTCTCTCTCCACCTACCTATATTACATCACTCATACAGGAAATATGGGAAATACTACTACCAATCAAATCAAGAGATGAAAAAAATAATGATGGAATTATATATAGACGAAGTTAGAAAGTTGTATGAGTACCTTGATATGATGATTATGAGCAATAAATTGTGCTTGAAACGATATCAGTTAACTATTACTGTGCGTCGGTGGGAACAGTGGTTAGGACTCTCGCCGACGATGCACATGGGTCGGGATTCCATCCCGGCCGACGCACACCTGATATCAATGGTCGGCCTGAAAAATTTGGGCTACCGATATCACATTGCTGAAAATTCCATACTTCTACCCAAAAGAAAAGTACTGTGTGGAATCAAGCTATAATCATATATATATATATATATATATAACACTGTATGATTTATCAAAATAAAATCTTATCTATAATAGAGTTGTACTCTACCACAGTACCCAAGTTTTCTACTTATATCTATAACAATATCAAAACAACATAATAATGATAATGATAATAGTAGTACAATATATACATATATATATGCATACATAATTCTGATAAAAATGCACCTTGATCTCAGTGTTAACCTAAAATATGATATCGTATGATTTGTGTCAGTGACAAAAGAGAGAAAAAATGTGCCTTGTTTTGTAAAGGGTTTTCTTTTAGTCAATCTATTCAGTGTGAGTATTGTTTTCCGTTATCAAACAACAATTCAGTAGGTATATGACCTAATTTCTATCAGAAATGATAATATATGACATAATATATGTATGATAATTATGTTTAT